TCCTTCGGCCAGACGGAAGGAAGCATGAGGGTGTCCTATGATGTAATTATTTTTTCTGACTTGCCGGTGGAATAGGAACCGGACTGATGCTCCCCAGAATGGAAATGGAGCCAGGGCCATAAGGTCCTGTTTTATTAATTAAAAAAAAAAAAAAAAAAAAAAAAAAAAAAAAAAAAAGAAAGAACTGTGTGCCACTTGCACATAAGAACCTTCATCATTATATTTCCTCCTATGCCTCAGAATAAAACCCATATGGCAGAAGGTAATTAGAATATGGGAGAAAACAGTCGCCACAGATTTCTCAGATAGCCCTACACTGTTACTCTTAGGATTTGCCACTCCCAAAGAACGGTTCCCCTTAGAGACCAACCTTTTCCAAATCCTTAGGAAAGCTTCCCTATGGGTCATATGGTAAAAGAGATGCCAGGAAACAATAGACAAACAACCAATGCATTGCCAAGAGGCTTGGGGACTATTCCAACAGCAGGTAGAAACCGAATGCTGGGTCGTGTGGCGCAGAGTTAAGAGGAAGATGAAAGCTGATGAGGCCAAATGTGACGAGAACTTTTTAGCGAAGGGCAAGATAGCAAACATTGAAGGACAAGGCCTAGTGTTCTCGCTTTGGGAGGAAGGTCCACAAGGTAAGCAGCTGGAAACAATTTCAGTAACCAGTACCCCGGAATCCTTCAATGCCAACATGGGTGTGTCCTGAAGAGGACAAGCTAGTACAAATCCAAGATAGTGACTTGGTCAGATCTACCGTCGTCACCCGAATAGAACTCCGGTAATTATCGCCGTATCTGGGCTGAAAGTTATGCCAAATACAACTATGATGACCGGGCGTTATACTCGGGTGAAGACGGTAGCAATCGGAATAGAAACCGAGAGGTAGTAAGAATATGATTGCAGGTAGGCGTAGAAAGAAGTTTAGAGATATCGTAGGGGACTTAAATTCCAAGACTAGGACCGCTAGGGTTTAGGGTTTTAACTCTTAACAAGATTTTCAGTATGTAGCCAAGCTAGATAGGGATTTCATAGGGAAGTTGCAAATAGCAAACAGATGAAGTCAGACTAGCAACCAACTTCAGAAGTAAGCCATGCAGGGTAACTTAGGCAGGGGTGAGGGGTGGTACACCCTTCCCCAGGGAAGTAATCAATGCCCTCCACTCGGACCTTTTCAATCGTAATGGGGAGGAGCGTGTGTGAGTAATTATTGTAATCCCTTCTGCCTTGCCGGTGGAATAGGAACCACACCGATCATGACCAATGCTTCCCAGAATGGAAAGGAGCCACAACCACAAGGTTCCATTTTTATGGACAAAATAAAATAAAAAAATTGTTGATGTACCGACTGAGCTACTTTTTTTTGTGGCAAACCCATTTCAACAGTGATGGCAAAGCCTTTTTTTTTTTTTTTTTTTTTTTTTTTTTTCAACTGATGGCAACCCCATTCCACTGGTCCATGACGAAGTGGGGATTTAAAAGGAAGGGGAAAAAGAAAAAATATGTCTTATACCTGGTGCTTCCAGGCACTGGTCTCCTTGCTTGCTGTCCAGCCTCTGGTTTGCATCCTCTCTAATTGCTCCCCTTCGCCTCAATGTTGCACCGCGCTCGAATCCCGTCTTCGGCTGACCGCCCCAGTTCAGCTCGTCGTCCACATCTGGCCTGAGATCTGAACCTGGCTTCAGATCTGCATCTGGCTTCAGATCTGGACCAGGCTTCATGTCCTGGTCCACATCGAGCTCCAGATCTGGTTCCAGGCAAATTATTTCCATGGGCTTGCAATCCCTCTTGATTGGTGTTACACCTGGTGCCTCTTCTTGAAATCTGACATGCTTCTGCTTTGCACGTTTCCTCATCCTCGATGCTAAACGCTCCTCTTTTGGTGCCTGTGAAGGCTCTTCCGGCAAAAGAAGATTTAACTGCCGTGCCAGTCTTGACCGCCAATCATCCGCATCTGTTGGCTTGGAATCTGAATGTAATTCCTTCGCCTTGAGCGAGGGAATGCCGTTTTCTTCCTTCTTTGGCGGCTGGCAATTGCCTGTCTTCTTCAATTTCGCATACTTCATCTGGTTCCTCCCCAAAGAATCTAAAGAACGCCTCCTAACCATTTCCGATTCGTGTGACGTAATCTGATGAATAGAACAGATCTCCTGCTGCAAACTGTCTACAGCACCGGAGTGCAATGATCCTCCATGCCCTGAATGCAGCTCGTCACTCTGCATCATATACATAAACATGCCATTAACTCAATTCAATTCTTTATCCATATCATAATATCATTACATAATAGCCTTAATACTAATAGGGCTTTCTTTAACTTTCTTTCTTTTTCTTTTCTTTTCTTCTTTTTTCTTGCTTTTCTTGATTTAATTGTTTTCCTCCTTTTTTTTTTTTCGTTTTTTCCCTGTCATTCTTTTCACCTTCTTTTTTTCTCGTCTTTTTCTCCTT